CTGTGGTCCAGGGGATTCACCAGGCTCATGGCATCCTTCTTCAGGATCATTAGCATGTTCTGGCCCTGCCAAGGACAGAGGGCAGCACAGAGCTCAGATGAAGGTGGTTGCCATGGGGAACAGACAATTCAGAGACAACCACCTCTACTGGACCCTGAGCTGAATCCTTGAAGGGCTGGCTAGCTCACCTCGCCCCAGGCACCAGCTGGGGGCTGGCTCCGGCTGCGGGTCTGGGCCAGCTGCTGGATGCAGTTACTGACCGCAATACTGCTCTTCCCTGGTACCAGGTCCTCTTCGGGTACCTCTACCCAGCCCAGGGAGCGGACTGCAAAGCACTGACAGGTGAGGAGAAAGGACGGAAGGGCCCCAAGTGAGTAGAGGTGGAGCAGGGTAGATGCCACAGGCTACACCCATATGAACCCTCTGATCCCCCCCCCCCTTGATCATCTCTGCTCAGCCCAATCCCACCCCTGACTACCCTTGGGGCCTTCCCCAATGCCATGGGCTGGCCCTCAGGCCCAAGTCACTACCTTAGCCCCTGGTTCCATGCTCTGGATGTAGGATTCCTCACCATACCAGGACAGAGAGTTACTGGAACAGAGCAGAGCTGGTAAGGGACCACACTTCCTACAGAAGGGACATTGGTGGGGCACAGACTACTTAATAGGCAAAACGTGTGGGATAAGACCCAGAATATAAAGTCCCAAATATGAAACCAGAGCAGGGAGGCCCCAGGACATATTAAACAAATGTAACATAAAGAGTATGACTTAGAATCTGAGGAAAAAATCAGGGCACAGGACATAGAATAAAAGTTGTAAACAGAGCAGGGTTCAAAATGTGAACCAGAGCTCCAAATGGGGACAAGAGACCCTAGAACACAGGACAGTGCCCAAGGTCCAGAACACGGTAAGTCAGGGCGCAGCACAGGGAAAAGAACATGTGGCAAAAGACAGAGCTTGGAACTAGACCAAAACTCAAAATACTGAGTCAAAGCATGAGTCAGAGTTCAGAACCTGGGCTGGGAAGCAGACTGTGGATCCAGCTGCATCTCTGAGGGCCATGGAACCCCCTGGCCCGCCTGGCCTATCCCTGTTACCTCTGGTCCAGTGAGCTCTCCAGGCTGGAGAAGGATCTCCCCTTGGGGGGCCGAAGTCCCCAAATCCCTTCCGGCCTCTGCAGAGAGGGGGCCAAGTCAGTGTAGCAGCAGGCTAGGTCCACGCATGGGCTCAGGCCCCCTCCTCACACTCCACCTACCGTGCCTGGCTCCTCTGCATCTCCTGGCTCCCAGGTTGGGCGCTGCCACTGGGTCCTACCGCTTGGTACGTGCCAATAGTAAGTACCTGCAGCATCGTGGATCTTTCTCCAGCCAGGGGGCAGGCCCGGCTCTCCCTCCAGACTCTGGTCCCCCCACAAGTCATCTACAGGAACACGGAACGAGGAGGGGGAACACGGGATTGGAGAAGGAGGGCATATTTGTGGATGCAGAATAACACCTTGTCAACCCTGAGCCTGGAGGTCCAGGCTCCCAATCTTGGATATTATTACAGTGCAAAGATCAGGGTTCATTTGTACCCTGGTTCTCACCCCAGGACCGACCCTCCTCCCTGAGTTTGAGCCTTGGGGTAGCCATTCGCCTTCCCTCTTCCCCTCTCAATGCCCGGTCCTCCCTCCCGTCGGACCCCTCCGTGCACACCATCGCAGTTGACCAGAATTATGGCCAGCATGTAGTCCTTGCCCAGCATAGCCCCGACCGCGGCCCCGCCGGCCTCTGCCGGCCTGCACTCTCAGCCCAGCTCGACCTCTGGAGCTGCTGCGCCGACAAGCCCAGCCTCTCTGCGCCGGAGTCACCGGGCCAGCGGACGCCACACAAATACGGGGCGGAGCTGGGGCCGTCCCGGGGTTGAAATATGACGGGAGGAGCGGCGCCGCGCGCCGTTCGGTGCGGGGGCGGGGGGAGGAGCGCCGAGGCCAGCGCACCAGCCGACACCACCACGCAACTGTGAGCTCAGCAAGCGGCGGGTGACCCACCAGGCGAAAGTGCGCGGGGCTCTCACGCGCACCGCTGACAGCAGCACGCCCAGGTCGTGCGTGCGCACGCGCAGCTGAGACCTGAGGGGAGGAATCACGTGGGGGTACCTGTGGGCAGAAGACCGCCTGAGCTCCGCTGCCAAAAAAGCGCCTCCGGACCAGCTGGCCCGGCTCAGGGCTGTGTGTGGACCTAGGAAACAAGAGGTTACCCTCGGATTCCTGGTCGGAGCACATGCCCGGGTTGCAGGCTCCATCCCTAGTGTGGGGCCTGTAGGAGGCAGCCAATCAATGATTCTCTCTCATCACTGATGTTTCTATCTCTCTCTTCCTCGCTGAAATAAAAATATATTTCCAGATACATTTTTTTTAAAATATATTTTATTGATTTTTTACAGAGAGGAAGGGAGAGAGATAGAAAGTTAGAAACATCGATGAGAGAGAGACATCGATCAGCTGCCTCCTGCACATCCCCCACTGGGGATGTGCCCGCAACCCAGGTACATGCCCTTCACCAGAATCGAACCTGGGACCTTTCAGTCCGCAGGCCGACGCTCTATCCACTGAGCCAAACCGGATTCGGCCAGATACATTTTTTTAAAAAAAATTTTTAAGAAAGCGCCTCCAACCTTTCAAAAAAAATCTCCCGGAAGTGCCTCCGCCCTCACTAATGATGGGCACTTGGTATGAGGGAGGGGAGGCGGGGCTGCGCCTGCGCAACAAGCTCCACGGGGGAAGATGGCGGATGACAAGGTGAGTGACCATGGGGTGGTCTGCAGTCGGCGTGGTATCCACACTTTTTCAGTCCCGGGGGAAGACAACGCGTGGGTGAGATGCCGCTTGCTTTCCCTGGGGGTGGACTTGTGCTCACGCCCGCGGCAGAGTGTGGAGTAGATGGGGGAGCACTCCAGGGGGCAAGCAGCTGAGGAGCCAGGGTGCCCCTCCGGGTCCATCGCAGTACCTAGTTTCTCACATTCAAACCCGTCCGCTCTGACACACTCCTGACTCTGCTCCATTCCCTAGCCCTGGGAATGTGCCCTCCCAGAGACACCTTGTTTCCAATTCATAATGACACACCCTCATTCAAACACTCGCTGGCACACACTGAAGTTCATACTTCATGCGTCAGAATCTCTCAGTTCATGGATCCATACTCCTCCAGACAGCCGTGCCCCGCCCCTGCCACCTCCCGCGAGCATGCAGAGGCACACATTCAGTTTGGGGTGGCCTTGGGGGAGAAGCCCAGGCAGAAACCAGATTTACCTCCAAATTGTCCAGGGAGCTGCCTTGGCACCACTCACACATTTACTGAATACTTGCTAGTCCCTGCATCAGGACTTGGGACTCAGTAGACAAGACAGACTGGTCTCCACTTCCACGTAGCTTATAGTCAAGTCATTAGTATTTTCCTGATGGATCTAATTAGCTGCCCTTCCCGCTTTCCCTATACACTGCTTACTCTATGAAGTTCCTGCAAGTTCCTGATGCACATCCCATCTGTCACCCCCTCCCTGGCCCCAGAGTGAATTCCATCCTTTTCAATGCCCTTTTGTCCTTTACCAGTGTCATCTCAGGAAGGTATTTATGTAAAGAGATTTCTCAGGCTCAACCCATCCCACCTCCTCCCCGGCCTCCGATAGGCTGGAGCGGGGGATGGGGCCAGGTCCGTCTGCTGGAGCCAGTCTCTCCCTTTCCGTAGGACTCTTTGCCCAAGCTTAAGGACCTGGCCTTTCTCAAGAACCAGCTAGAGCGCCTTCAGCAGCGTGTGGAAGACGAAGTCAGGAGCGGTGTGGGCCAGGTAACACTGCATCTGGCGCTACCCCCCCCCCCCCTTGTAGGCTCCATTGCCCAGCATGCTTTGGAATGGGTGGGTGGTGGAGATTTATTCAGCAAATGCTTAGTGAGGGCCTGTTCTCTGTGACTTCAAGGAAATTTTCCCTGGGAAAATGGCACTTGATCCGGGATCTTAAATAGGGGTTAACTAGGTGAAGGGGGAGGAGGGAACATTCCAGGCTGATGGAACAACATATGCAGTGTTCTTGCGGGGGGAAGTAGCATGATGAGCATGGAGGTGAAAGCCGTTCAGTTTGGCCGCAGTAGTGGGTGAGCATGCTAGGAAATGAGAAGCAAGCAGGGTCAGGTTCCTTGGTGGCCTCGTGGCAGTAGTTCTGTGTGTGGAGCCTCCTAGCCCCAGGATTCTGAGATTATGTGACCAGAACCCCTAGGTTATTTTTCTGCCTCCAGAACCTTGAGAAAATCTTTGTAGGGCGTACTACAACTTTCCAGAGTAAGAAGGAGCAGGTGATGGGATGCTCTCAGCCCAGACCGAGTAGCTCCTGGTTAGAGAAGGGGAGAACCTACTGAGTTCCCTCCTGAATCTTTTTCCACAGGATGGCTCGCTCTTGTCCTCCCCATTCCTCAAAGGCTTCCTGGCTGGCTATGTGGTGGCCAAACTGAGGGCGTCAGCGGTATTGGGCTTTGCTGTGGGCACCTGCACTGGCATTTATGCAGCTCAGGCGTATGCTGTGCCCAATGTGGAGAAGACAATAAGGGACTATCTGCGGTCGCTGCGGAAAGGGCCCGACTAGCTCTGGATCCTGTGGGGGAGGCAGGATGAGAAGCTGGGGCCTGCAGGTGGAGGCCTTTCGACCACAGACACCATATCTGGCTTCCCTGGCTGTCACCCAATTACTGTCTCCAAGTTTCCTGCCTCCTTCATCCTTGTTTCCCTTCCTGCAGAGGGTGGGTAGTGGCTCATCAGCCAGTATCCTCCATACCTCCTTCCCTCCCTGACCCAATGGGACTAATCCCAAGACTGTGGCTTCTAAGGCCACCAGACCTTTCCCACCCTAAGTGTGGAGTTTGCAGCTGACATACCACAGCTCCTGCCTCCTGGGAGCCAACTCCATATCTTGATTCTCCTCAAATGTGTCACATCCTCACTGCCCCTTGTTAGTTACACAGGCCACCCAGGGTCTGATGTGGGCATGAGTGTAGAGGACGGGGGAGTGCCAGGCCTGGGCCGTCCCAGGCAGGCCCGCTGGACTTTGATGCTACTCCTGTCCACTGCTATGTACGGTGCCCATGCACCATTGTTGGCACTGTGCCATGTGGATGGCCACGTGCCCTTCCGACCCTCCTCAGCTGTGCTGCTGACCGAGCTGACCAAGCTACTGTTGTGCGCCTTCTCCCTCCTGGTAGGCCGGCCAGCATGGCCCCGGGGGGCCCCGCCCTGGCGCCAGGCTGCCCCCTTTGCACTACCAGCCTTGCTCTACGGCGCTAACAATAACCTGGTGATCTATCTTCAACGGTACATGGACCCCAGCACCTACCAGGTGCTGAGCAATCTCAAGATTGGAAGCACGGCCCTGTTCTACTGCCTCTGCCTCCGGCGCCGCCTCTCTGCACGCCAGGGCTTCGCACTGCTGCTGCTGATGGCAGCGGGGGCCTGCTATGCAGCCGGTGGCCTCCAGGACCCTGGGAGCACCCTCCCGGGGCCCCCTCCAGCAGCTAAGGCTGGCCCCATGCCCCTGCATATCACTCCACTAGGACTGCTGCTCCTCATCCTGTACTGCCTCATCTCAGGCTTGTCCTCCGTGTACACAGAGCTGCTCATGAAGCGACAGCGGCTGCCCCTGGCGCTGCAGAACCTCTTCCTTTACACGTTCGGTGTGCTCCTGAATCTAGGTCTGCATGCAGGTGGCGGCCCCGGCCCAGGCCTCCTGGAGGGCTTCTCGGGATGGGCAGCGCTCGTGGTGCTCAGCCAGGCCCTGAACGGACTGCTCATGTCGGCCGTCATGAAGCACGGCAGCAGCATCACACGCCTCTTCGTGGTGTCCTGCTCGCTGGTGGTCAACGCCGTGCTCTCAGCGGCTCTGCTGCGGCTGCAGCTCCCAGCCGCCTTCTTCCTGGCCACTCTGCTCATTGGCCTGGCAGTGCACCTGTACTATGGCAGCCACTAGCCCCTGACCACCTTGACTCCTGACCCTGGAGGTTGGGCGTTACCGTCAGAGCCACCTCCCAGCTCCCTTTCCCTCAGCAGCCCTGTTACAAGTGCCTTGTGAGAAAAGCTGGGGAAGTGAGAGCAACCAGATGGGTGGATGAAGGTGTATCCCTGAGAGACTTGTAGAGTGGGTTTGGTTAGGAAACTGGAAACTCTAAAACATCACCCTC